AAACATGAAATTTTGGCATAATCTTGCACTTAAGTGTCTGATATTCAAATTTCACTTTCTAGGTCAAAACTACTCGAATTTCCTCACTCACGTTGCTACGACTGAATCGACTTTTCAATTCTCTATCCAACAATGCCAAAACGAATTCTGTGGCTCGAATGTTTCTTGAGAAACTTCGAAAAAAGCAGCGTTATGTTCAGGTGGATTTTGCAACTTAAAAAAAAACCCCGCAAATCTAAAACTTCTTGAATTCAAGCATTTTCCTTATCGATGGTTCACTTTCTAAAAAGGCCATTTAGTTCTCTTTGGAGTGATATAAAAACGAGCGTTCTTGCTCATTTTGCTTCCGAGAAACATGCAAAACGGAACGGAAAACATGAAATCTTGCGGTCAGTGCTCAAAAGCGTAAGCGTCCGCCTGAAAATGGTTGGAGATAGTACCAACCAAAACGTTGCGGCAAATCATTCAAGTGATCCGAAGATCCCATAAACCGTAACTTTTGTGAAGACGCAACGGTCTAAAAGCGCGAAAACTCACCAAAAAGGTGCAAAATGAAGATCATTAAACCAGCAAAGCAATATTTAACCACTGCCAAAAGATTGAATCTATTAATATAATAAAGACGTTTTACAGAAAACGTCTTTGAAAACGAAAATTTTGAAAAATAAACGTTTCCATGAACGTGAAGTTCCGATTCAGCTACAAATTGTCATTTGAATCCATTTGTTCCCGTTGTATGCAAATAACACCCAGCACTTTAAAGAGTTTCAAACAATGTACGCATTAAACCACTGAAAATTTGGGCAACTAAAAAGTGCAAATTACAAACACATTTTTCGTCGTATGTGCGTTCTATGTAATTTCAAAAGGTATGCAGGTGTAGGTCCCAATCGTTCCATCGGCCATTAGCGTTTCTACAGTTGAAACCAAAAAATTGCTCGCTCTATTAAAAAACTATTTTGGACAGTCGCGTGCGTTAAATTTCTCGTCTGGTTATTTCGTGCTGGATATGGACACAGTCTTCTAATTATACTTAACAATCCGAAGACGGTTCTTGCACACTTTCGGCATTTGGAATAATGGCACCAGTTTAGGTTTAAGCAGGAACGAAAAATCCTCAGCTCAAATGGGGGTCTTCATTCTCAAGGAAATTATCAATTGAACAATTATATATATTTATATATTATTATCCTTGAGCTTCAAGCGGATGCTTGAAGAACTGCTAGAGCCATTTAAGGCTTAATCAGTACTGATCTCTTAACCAGTTCGAACTCATTAGCTAATAAACCCTCATTGCAAGTGGCCGGCTCGACCATGTAACTACGTGTAAAACAGAGACGTAAAAATTGAAGCAGTAACTTAATTATCACCCGAGAAGAAGAACCTGCATAGTGTTAAAGACATTTAATTAACATTTTTTCCTTTCCTAACGCTTAACTGCTTGCTGGTGCTTCTATCAAGCATATGGTCGTTTAGATCTTCACTTTTATTAGCCAATTGATCGCAAGCAGGTGAAACTGCTCAATACGAAAAATACGTTTCCCAATAGCAATCAATATCATTGATCTGGAGAGGATTTTGCATGGAAATGCGATGATTGAGAAACTCTCTTATGTCGCATCAACCATGTTCCGATCTAAGCAACATCATCCATGAACATAAAATAAAAAACCCAATTTGTAGATAAGTTCTATATTGTTGAGGCGGATTCATTTTTTACAAACTTCTTTTTGGGTATTTCGCCTCAAAAATTTTTGTCTT